TCCATGAAGATTTTCAATCTTCGGTCTATGAAGATCTTCCTTCAATCGGCTTGTAGCTTCAAAATATTTTCAATATGCATTTCAGCTACTTCGGAGTCTTRGTGTGTATATTAGACAGTTGATCCACAACACCGCATCGGTGACCTTCTGTCTTCACATCGGCTAGTCTTCGATTTTGCCAATGGCTTTAAGTATGTACCAAGACACCAATATACAAAGAACCAATAACTACTAAGTGTTGCTAAGGTAGAGGAACAAATCAATGGGTCATCACCAAATCAATAGGTGACCCAACAAATCCAATTCCATACCAAAACAGACTTACGTCACCACGCTTGGTAGGAAAGTTTTCCAAAATATAGTTTCATACCAAAACAGACTTACGTCACCATGCTTGGTAGAAACATTTCCCAAAAATCTCATTCCAAACCAAAACAGACTTATGTCACCATGCTTGGTTGGAACATATCTTTTTATTTTAAAAGATATAAAATACTCATAATTAAACCTAATGATAAACATTTATGTAAATGTCAAAGATACACAATACAATTAGATCATCGGATAAGATATCCGGACAATACTCAATTGATTTAGGAAACTAATCCGCACAATCTTTGGTCAATTTAAGACTAACAAAATTTGTCAACTTTAGCCGGATATGAAATCTGGTTACTTCTTGTCCGGATTAGATATCCGGATACCTTGTCCGGATATGAAGTCCGGTCAACATTAAAATAAAGAACCCGGGTGATTGATCTAGTATTAAACCGGTCAACCCTTGAGCGGTTTAACTTTAAACCGATAATGCCTTGAACGGTTTAAGATAAACGCGGACACCCCTTGTCCGGTTTAAGATTGAATCCGGACAACACTTGACCGGTTTAGATGAAATCCGGTCAACACTTGTCCGGTTTAAGGTTGTAAACCTTACGATATAGTGTGATTCAAAATAAGACAATTCCAATAGCAATTAATTGTATACAAACAATTTATACTCAAAACAGAATACACTCACCTTATGCAAAAACTCAGATTTTGAAGAAGATGAAAACCAATTTGATTCCACTCGTTCTCCGGATAACTTTTCTCTCTAAATTTTTCCAAAACTCCAAACGAGGCAAGAAGTCTTACCTCATACTCAAAAGCTATATTTATACCTTCCTTTTTCAGGGAAGTCGGCCAACCAGGCCCTCCCCCACATGCATGCATATAAATATATATCATTTCATACATACATACACACACATATGCCTACACATACAAGCATATTGATGCATATATATATATATATATATATATATATCCCATTCATGAAATACATATACTTACGCATTCTAACCCATGTAAGCATGTATCCATATAAACAGTTAATTCACATAATAAATACCTTGGGTAATAATCAGGACCCGATTATCACAAATTGATCCATATGATTCTTCTTATATCGAACTAACTAGTGAATACTAAAATAGACGAACTCTGGCCAATATAGAACTCCCCCTTGTCGTTATCTACTTATGATGTTTCTGCTCTAAAGATGTATGAAACTAATCAACTAATAAACCTAGTGAGCTGATGCAACAATCACATATGGACTCAAAACATACTCTTTAAACATTTTTCCATAAATAAAATCATGCATTGAAAACATGTTCATGGATAAAAGAGTGTTTCTTCTTAAACATTGAGGTCTCTATAATCCTCGTATGTATTTCTACCTTTATTAGCTTTGGCTGGTCCGTATATCTGATCCACATAGGTATACATGGTTGCCTTACATTGTTGGAGTTTTGGTTGGTGAATCCATATACATCCCAGAAACATTTTTATGCGTAATTAAGCTAAAATAATAAGTTCTCATTGAAGTACATACTTAGAACACATAGCATGCAAATCTCTTATTTTAAAGATGAATACATCCGTCATATATCATGAACATGTAACAAATATTTGATCCCTGTTGAAAATATTATTTCATCCATAAACATACATTTTATACCAAAGGCCCTTTGGTCTAGCGGTATCGTAGCCCTTGACCTTCTAGGAGGTCAGAGGTTCAAATCTCACCATAGATGATGAGGGTGTGTGAGTTTATTTGTTGCATTTGCCGTATATCTATACTATATTATAAAGCATTTGATTAAAACTCTTAAAAACTCTTAAACTCTTAAAAACTCTTAAACCCGTTCATCCCTATCTGATTTTATCCCATATCTGAATTCGTGTAAGTAACTGCAAATAAACACAATCAAATACAGGATAAACATCTCATTTTAAATATAAAAAATCTAAAATATAATTAGGATAATCATTAAGTTCTAACATAATACTTAATTATTATCTTTATAAAATATTATATTATTAAAC